ATTCAGGGTGATAGCCAATCGTGTCAATATGTTTACTAAGCCAAGCCCTCAGACAGAACCCATTCCAACATGAGCTCCCCCCACTGACAAGAATGTGGGGGTGAAACAGGAAATGACCTTAAATTGTGTTTACATGAGAGGCAATTTTATTGAGAAATGATTACTGCTCGGGTTTGTCCTCTAATGAGTTATATTTTCAGATCAAGTTCAATCGTCCAAATCCTGTCTAGCTCAGATCTATGAAGCAAGGAAAAAACAGCGACAGAGGTGAGTCAAAGTCATTACCATTTTTGATCCTTGCAACCACCTCCCACCCCCCCCTCTCACTCCCTCGACTTTCACCCGTGCCTTTTAACTCCTTCCTTTTTCTAATCCCACCCCCATGAGCCTCTAAGCCTGGCCGACCATAATCCCTGACGCAGCCTCTGCAGGCTGCTCTGCAGAAAATATGCTAGGAAATTCCATTTTGGCAAAAGGTGCGAAAAAACGACAGCCAGCTAGCTCCTGCTGAAAGCTTTATTGATATGCACTCTGCTTTTTCTTCCGTCTGGGGATGATTGACTATACGAAATTTCAAATAAATGCTGATACCTTCTGAAAAGTGCTCCGGCCTCCTGATGAGAATTTTCGATCATTTCCTCAGCAGGACCATTTTTTCGAGAGCAAAACGACTAATTTTTTGTTGTATTATTTTTCGTTACACTTCATTAGCATGATTTATCAAAGATTATCTGTTCGAAGCAGCTCGTTCTCGAAAAAGGTGTACTCGACAAACACAAAAATTTTGCCCTTTTTCGAATTGTTTTTTGATACCTTTCCTCTGGGATTCCACGAAAAACTCTGTTGAATTTGAAAATTATTAATTCAAAAGCGATTTTCTCGAAAACCCCAGAAAACATGAAATCAGAAGTGGTCTTTGATTTGGAAAAAGTCAAATGCACCATAGGTTTATCATATGATCCTTCGCTAACAGATTGGCCACCATCAAGACGAAAATAAATTGTTGCATCGATCTTTACTCTTTTGCTTTTATTGCTCGGCTGATCGAGAACTAGGCCCTTTCGCCGAGGCCTTGAGGTTTGTAGGCACGTCATCGTGAACCACCAAACACCGAAAAACTCTCAAATTGAACGCAGGCCATAAAATTAGTCATAATGTCTCAAGAAGCGGCAGGGAACTAGGCCATTACACCCTCCCAGAACGCTTCCACCCGGAATCCCCCGAATGCCTGGTCTATGCAGATCTGTCCGAGTTGCTTTACCATAATCCCCTCTTCTTCAGATCATCGCTCTCATCGCATCTATCACATATTGAACCTATGCCAACGATTCTCGAAGAAGATGAGTCCATGTTCACTACCTATGAAGAATATTCTCGGATCTAGGACGATGGAAAACTGGACGAGTTCTCTCGCACCGTCTACCAAATTGAAAGCACACGTTTAGCGTGCTTGCTCGATGTGGATCTCACTATTTTCACATCGTGGTGACATGCTTCAAACATTACGAGTTCTCGATTATGTGCAACTACGGATAGAGGAACAATTCACCGTTCCCTTGGTGAAGTCATTGCATTCTTCTAAGTCATCTGTTGTGTTTACACAGAAGTTGTTTGTTTCGGGTTTTCTCCATTCTTCTATGTAGTTCATACAACAGATCGATCTACTACTGTAGATGAAATAGGTTTTGTATTGTGTAGATCGGTGTGCTACTGTATTTTTTTCTCGATTTCGTTTTCCCCGGTTATGTTTTTCCGTGTCCTATTCTTTACTCATCATCTCCACGGGTCGAATTTAGCAATTGTTTTTGTTTCTTTATATATTTGCTTGTAACAAGTGCCACAGTTGTGACCATATTTATATGAAAGAAGTAAAAATTCTACAAAAAAGTTTTTTGTGAAATAATTGTGTAATAGTAAGGGAAACGGAGTGGTCCCACGGAAAAAGCTCCGGAAGATCGTGTTGGTCCCACTTTACTGATGTTCCTTGGTCAACGGATGTATGAATCTAAAAATTCCTGAAAAACCATCTCCCCAAGAGCATCGAAGCTGTTCACTGAGGAAATAAGAATTCCGTCTGCGTGGGCAGATCAGGTCCATAATCCCACTCGGTAATGGGCTTGCGTGCGGTAGGAAAACAGGACAATTACTGCAAGGCATGCAGTTATGGGGAAGTATGGTGTGTGGTGCAATTGCAGCATTTCAATCGTTACCTCTAGCACTAACAAGATAGAAAACCAGTAACCAGCAGCCCTTGCAGGCCACACGCAAACAAGCCAGCCGATGCATACCAACGATTGCTTTCTAGCCGAATGTCTGAAGAAAGACAGCTTACTCGAATGGACTGCAAATTTTTGCAATAGTTTTCCACCAACAGTACCATTCTGAACGAAACGTCCGTACTATGTCCCTAAGCCAAACGAAAACTCATCCTATTCACCAGGTTCCCCATCTGAATTAGCTTGGAACACGTCGACGACTAATATGATTGACTCGAATTCATCGTTCATAACATAAGGGCAATTGCTTGATGGAAACTCGTCCTTCTCACCACTACATACTTTGTTGTCCTCCGGTGCTGATCACGAGTAGTGCAAGGAAATTCGCCCAGCAAACCTCTTGAAGGGTCAAGCTGTCGTAATTGAACGAACTGTAGCCCAGAAGGCAATAGTGCACTGTAAGGAGGAAGGTGTGGGAGGCATTGAAGGAGCGGGGGCGGGGGATAAGATATGGAAGAACATTTTAATGAAAAACAAGTTTTCTAGAGGCGATGGCAATAATTAATTAATTAAAACCAGCCAGTATCGTGACCAGAAGTGCAGCTCGGTCATTCTTCGAGGAAGCTTTAAATCTTCACATCTAGGAAGTCGAAAACATCAACTGAGCATCGGAAATGGTATGCTCCAGTGAAAGGCAATTTTTCTAATTACGACAGCATTTTTCAATGATTCATTGAATATAGCAGTATCGTGATCAAGAGTGCAATTCGCTAAGTTTCTGAGTGGACGTGCGAATTCCACGTTCTGGGAAATATCAAAGGTAAAAGTTCAAAGGTAGGTTGTTTTTCCTAAGTTAAGAGAAGGAACTTGTCTGTATGCACGTAGCTGAGCAAATTCGTCGTGTCCACTCTCGTATGGATCCACCCAATTACACGTAAGGGCTGTTAACCTCCTACCGCCGGTGGAGGTGTTTAGGTCCTGCATCAAGGAAAAGTGTGAGGAGGGTTTGATCCCCGAACTATGGGCTTGATAGCGTTGCCGCTTGCTACCAACTTATTTCGTTTACATACATAAAGGAGAGCAGTTAAGTTGACATCGAGTACAGCCGTTCCCAGAAAGTCGTGGACAACCTAAAGGAAGCTAAGAAGTTCCTGAGCCTCCCTAGGGTTGTACACGACTTCCTGAAAGTGACAGGGAGAGTGAGTGTGAGTCCTTAAAAGCGAGTTTAAGGGACAGTTTCCATTTCGATACGAGTGAAAGAAGCCATCGCAATCATCCTCAAGCTGCCAGCAGGGATGTGCCCAGACGATATCGCTCGCCCTTGAGCCTCTCTCTTTCGCTAGCCCCGAAACCGCGTGATTCCGACTGACTTTCTCTTCACTTTATCGCTTCCATGTAGATGGGTGTGACCGGTAGAGCCACCGTGTTGGCGATTATGCGAGGTCAATGAAATCCAGTTGACAACATGGTTGCTTGTATGAAAACTAACCGATCGATCAGTGTGACCATAATGTACCCCATTCGCATGCACCCATGTTACTGACAACAAATTTCAACTGTGACCAGGTCGACTGCTTTTTTTTACGGTCGCAAAAAGGAAACAGTACTACTTTCGCCCTGATCCAATATACGAAAACGGAAGGTTATCACTACCGGTACAACATTTTTTCGATAACTCAATGTTATTTAGATTTTTAGAAAAATATTTTCAACTGCTTCAATTGCAATTTCTTATAAGAGCTGCTGAAGTTTTATAATAGTCAGTTAACCACTTGTTCTGATATAAATTACCTGCTTTCCCTATGTAGTTAGCTTCGTTAAAAAAAGTACAAACCACAAAGGATTGCTCCAACTATTCGATTACCAAGAAGTAACTCTGATATAAATATATTTAGCAATTACATGTAACATTATAAACCGTAATACGAATATAAAAAAATAATCTTATGTTCTTAGTCTGGAGGCAAATAGTTTCTGTCTCGTCGCCAGACTACAACAAACCAGTTTAAGTTCCGTTGTATCCGTTTTCGAAATGCATAGAAGTGGAAAAAGAAGAAGGTTGCCGATGTAAACATAAACAAGTGGAGTGCGCCATGCATTTCTTTTCCACTTGATATAGTATAGAAGTAATCAAACGCATTCATGGTCTTGGAGATGACCAACGAAGGTTGATCTACGACCACATCAGTGCTTTGCTCCGACTAGGTAATTCATGTGGCAGTTAATCATTATCAAGCAGGTAGTAGGTCTGATCTCCTTAGATGAGGCTGGGTCTTGAAGCCGGGGTTCTTCATAACCACACTATCCCTCTTCATACTAGACATATGTAGATCATTTAACTGTGACCAGAATTCGAACCCCATCCTACAGCTGGCTATCCTTGATTGGAACATTTTCTCGAACGTTGGTCCCACTAACAAATANATTATAAAAATGTGAACACTGTAATCCCTCATCGGTACCAAGAAATCTGCTTCAAAGGACATCATGAGAATGTGACATTTAAACGAACATTAAACTTAAGCTCTCAGGGAAGTAATAATGCTGAAGTAATCTACTAACGTAAACGACATTCAGCAATACTAATCGGAATTACGGTATTGGCTGTTATTAAGTGGCAGAAGGATTAGGTGATTGTGAAGCGTTCAAAAATCACCAGCCCAACGGCAGTAAAATCAACCAACTTTCCCTCGGGAGAAAATCGCCGAGAAGTGACTCTCTCCGAAATCTCTAATATTGATTTGGGCACTTTTGGCTATGTAAACGGTTAATAGGCGTGGTTCGTGAAATGGGTGGAGCCGGTGGAACTAGATGGTCAATTTGAACCCTTGTTTCCCAACGTGGTTGTTGTTTTGAACGAAGAAATTGACGGAAGGCGACCTCTACGGGTGCAACCAGTTCACAGCGAGTATTGATCTAGGAATTATCATGGTCACTTCCTATGACTCAGACGTCTTGCCTCTGCACTAAGAAACCACTTAGGATAAAGCAGTGGTTGACAAGATCCTCAGATGAGTCCCAGGTTCACCTCAAATCCATCATCCCGAGAGCAAATCCTTAGATTTTGGATTCTCCTCGACGGACACGCTTGTGTACCCCATTGAGTCCGACTATACAGCCACCCATTTCGACGTTTCCCACGAACCTGCTGCTAATCGCACCACGCGGTAGTGATCACGATGGAAAACAACTCATATTCTTTATTGCGGCGATTGCGTGTCCCCATTTTTTTGTTGTGGTTGGCTGAACGACTAAATTTAGCCGTCCCGTTTCTGCAAGAAGTCAGAAATTCTTATGATGTCCTTCTGATGGTGAGAAAAAACGTAGACAAAGCAAAACTCCGTGCTACAATCTCAGCCTTCAATCATATCATCCACTACAACAACCCCTTTGGGAAGAGAACGGGGTCTTTGCTAAGCTGCACTTTCAACGACATCCGTTTTTTATCGTTTTTTTTTTTTGCTTCTGAGTAGTTTTGCTTCCTGCACAAAGCTGGTTGCTTTGAATTTTTTTGTATTCAGCTTTTCCGAGAGAACAGGTTGCTGAAAAAGCAACATCGATCGCATCAATAAACAAAGGCATTTAGGGTGATTTGGAAGGAATGCGGTGACGGTGGGGGGGAAGAGGGTGTCTGCGGGTGTGGGGTAGGGGTATGGTTGTGATGGTACCAACATCTTTCCTAAACCCTCTTTTTGGGTCTGGCGGAAATGGGTAGAAGTTGGGTAACAAGGAAAGATAAAGCTGACCTTTCGAACCGCTCATGACGACCCAAAGGGATTTTAATGCATGGCGCATTCGGGAGGTTCATTAAATCTAACTTGCTGATTGTTTATCCGAGTATCGCTCTCATATGAGTGGGCCCATCCGGAGAAATAGCTTTCCCAAAGCAGCTCTGACTCAACCAATTATCCCATCGCTAACTAACCTAATCTGAAAATGACGTAGGCAGGATGGCCGGGTGAATTAACGAGGTGTCCGTGGCAGATATCGGTAAGCTCAGCTGTTCAATGACGAAGGGAACTCGGTTGTTGCTAGTGTCGTCGATTCAACTAGCCGGAACATAACAACAATATGCCAGGCAATGGTCTGTTGATTGACGGAGTAGCCGTCTTCCATATGGGAACCACGTTGGTGTAATGGAACAAACAAAAGATTAGCAGAAACGGCA